AGTTCTGTTGAATGATAACAATAATTCAGTTTACACACTCATTGAATGTGCACTTCCGTGCTCCGGTCGATCTCCTATCTTGTCGATTGCAGAGGGAAGACATTAGAATAAATAAATGACAGGCTTAGTCAATAAAGAGTATGGAATTGGATAAAATTAGTTACTCTGAAGTGCGCACAATTCTCAGTCGGAACACCGGCATAGCCCTGACATGACCTTGTCCACTGATCGACTTCTGCTTAGTTTGATTCCCCAAAATTCATTTATATGCCGGTCAACCTCATGCGTGAATATGCATAGCCGATGCTCATCATCGAATCTCAACACTGTTCTGTTTTTGTCCCATCAGGATTTGTTCACAGTGATGAACTTCATTAAGATTTTACGCGTCACCGACATGTTTATCATCATACAATCGATCCTTTAAGAATAATAAAGTTTTTGATATGTTGTTTCCCTGAAGCTGCCATATGACAGAACTCACTCCTACATTTTGGGGCATTTATCCTGAGGTGTATCTGCTGGGAGAGATGTATTTCGATATTCGCGCACAATAATCAACTCCTCCAGTCAATCACATATTCGGTAAGCATTATGCCAGAGTTAAGCTCTCCTTAGAGGTCATTAGTAGTGCACATCTACCGTCCCGTCAAACAGTTGAATTCGGGATGCGTTGTATAAAACGCGTGTGTTATTTCCACGAAGCGGCTCGCACCGGGGCCGACCATAATTGCCAACTTACGCTTGTTCCGATGTCTTCAATGATAGTTTCATCATTCATAAACCCTGGCTTTGGACATCCAATAGAGACAGAATTATCGGGAAACATTGCTTCCATGCAACTGGTAGTGCAGTTTCAAGCATGAAGCGACGCGTACAGTCAGGAAGGATCGCAATCTATATTGCATACGCTGCTACAAATATGGAAACCGCGTTGAATACTAATGACTATAGAAAACTGTTTCCGGTCATTCGCAATCGATTCATCTCTAATCCTGATTGTGCCGAATCTCGGGACGGCTTATCTTCGAAAAGCGGAGGGAAATAAAAATGATGGGCCGAACACTTTTACCTTCTGTCAAACCGTTTCACAAACCACTCGACGGCTTCTTTCGAAAGCTTCCGTATCATTCATGTTTCGCCAAATCGAGACGAAGTTCCGAAAAACCTGTAAACGCAATGCGGCCGCAGGGCAGCATGACATTTCACCACAGGTATTCTAACAGTGGTATACCCGTTATGCAGATTGTCTTTCGTAATGTCAAATTGCGAAGTGTCTCCACAGCTTCATCTGAATCCCGATCTCAAGCAGAGAGAAATCGGCCTGATTCATGTAAACCCCAGACGCCATGGTCAAAAATGCGCCTTCGATGCACATCTCTGGCACAACAAAGGGTTTCGGCACAAAAAATCTATGCTGACATTCAGATCACTAATCCTAGAGAATCTCTCTAATTACTTACAATTTGCTGTATTCAATTCCGCTCCAATCAATCGATACGCACT